ATTATGGGCAAAAAGAGAAACAATTCAACTTGAATTAACAAACAATTCTACATCAGTTGACATCTCTAAAAAGTTGAATATGTATTTGTGCATTTCAGACAATTTACCACATAGCCACAACTACTGTCATATTATTAGTTCAAGAATTAACATGTCAAGTTTGAACTTACTGCAGTGATGCTGTTAATATGCACAAAGAACCACTTAACTGAATACCAATTACGGATGACAGAATCTGGGTTCAAATTCAGGATAAAGGAATTTGTGATAGTATTCATAGAATACAAGAAAGGTGCCAGTACACAGTGTAGTTGAACTGTTTTCAGAATGTTTTGTTCCCTTGGCATACCAGACCTAGATTACCTTCCATTCAACCCAATGTGCAAATACAATTGATTCCAAAAATAATGCTTTAATTTGACATACAGCTGAATGTTTGCAACATTCCTGATACTGCCCTTCCACCTCCCTCTAGAACTGTGCATGTTTTCTCCTGAACTTCCAACTTCAAGTCAAATTCAATACTGAATTTCACTTACTCATTAAAGCAATGCATCCGCTTAGCAACAACAAGTTGTACACAAAAGGATTTCTTTCATAGCGTGTTTCAAACATCCTATTTTTTTCCCTATCAACTGTCATTACCATGGAACAAATAAAATGTAGAGAAATTATATGTTAGTACAAAAAATGTATCTACACATGAAATGTTAAACTATTCTCATAAAACATGTCTGCATATTCAACATTATTTGAAAACAGAGTAGTTTATTGCAAAATGTTGTTGTTCATTTGCATATTTTTTAACCCATGTAATACTGAAACCAAAATGATCTTTGTGGCACCATACATGTCCCTTTAAGACAAACTATGGTAAGACATGGTAGGAAATGGTAAATTATGTCTTTTTAAGACAAACCAAGACATGTGGTAGGATAAGGTAAATTATGTTCATTTTGGTCAAAGCATGTCATAGGTAATGGTAAATAATTTCCATTTTTATCAAGACATTTGGTAGGAAATGGC